TAGGTGAGGGATCACTGTATGTTTCTCTATTTTAGGCATATGTATCATCAGACACCTGATAATTTGATATTGCATTTTTACTTGATGTGAGATTAAACCACCCAATTGTGAACTCTGCCATTCAATTTTTCATATTTGGTATTTTGAAGCATTGTCCAGTCTAAAATTACCAAACAGCAATTGAATAAACTAAATCTTAAGTTCTGTCATAAAGCTGGAATGGAATTCTGCAGGATTAAATGTCTTGGACTAATTTCATCAAACATAGACACTTTCATACAATCATCTGATCTATCTTGAACTTCAGTTTCTTCTGATCAGTGTTTGTTGATCCTTTCCCGTATGAACATTATGTTCTTGATCACACAGAAGCTAGAAGTAAAAAGCTTCAGATCACTTCAACATTCAACATTATATCATTAGCTCCAAGCTACATACCTGTGCTAGAGACAGTTTTATCATCCTTGTAAAGCAGGAGGTAGTGTATAGGATTGGTGATACACACTAAACTTGCTGGGGCTGATGAAATATATTTGAGGGAAAATTTATTATTACTTTTGCTTTTCAATATTCTAAGATAGTTCTGTGCATCACTTTTTTTTTTAAATTTTTAAAAAATTTATTACAGTAAAAGACATATTACCATAACCCACTGAAAGTATTTTCTGTCACTTCAAACACACATGTCACATTAGTCTTTCCACTTTCTGAAGCAGTTCTGGAAGTCTTCTTTCACAAGTGTCTTTCTGAGGTTTAGAAAAAACTATAGTGGACCCTGCTGCCAAGTGCCATCCAACTAAAAGGGAGGCTTTCATCACAACATGCTGGTATGTTCTCCTCAACCTTCTTAACTGGACCTGGCACTATGAAACTTCTGGCTCTTCTCCAAAGTCAAAATGACCAGGAAAGGAAAGTATTTTGAATTCATTTTTGACAAATTAATTACTGCTCTGTTTTGTCAGATGGTTTTTGATAGCTAAATTTTTAAAAACTCAGGCCCAAAGCTTCCTGGGATAATCAATTTGTCTTTCAAACCGTATTATTTAACAAAAATCACACTGCGCTATATGCAAGTATAATATTTTAACATATTATACTTGGATAGTGTATTACAATTAACAGGTACTTATGCATTTGTTCCTGATAAAAGTTTTATTAGGTAGCTGCGAAATTGTTAAATATATTTAAATATATACTTGGTCTTCTTTTCTTTTTCCTGGCATTCAACTCATACAACAATTTGTCTTTTTTGTACGTTAATATCTCACTGATGGCTGGCACCCGCTAAGTAGGTTCAGGATGAGAACTGGTTACTGGAAAGACCAAAGCGTAATTACTGGGTCTTTCAGTACCCATTTACAACCTCCAGAGAAGAGGGGATAAAGGTTAAGTTAATCATCAATGGCCCAAGATGTAATCAAACCTGCCTACGTAATAGAGCTTCCAGAAACATACAAAAGAGCTAGGTGCAGAGAGCTTTAGGAGGTTCCTGGAAGGTGGTGCACCTAGAGGGAAGACCTGGCAGCTCCACGCTCCTCATATGCAGGTCTGTATTCATCTCTTCCATCTGGTATTCATTTGCATCCTTTGTAATAACCTTCACAATAAAGCAGTAAATGTGTTTCCTTGACTACTGTGAGCTGCTCTAGCAAATTAATTGAACCTGAGGAAACTCTTTTTTATAGCAGATCAGTAACAAGAAGCACAGGTAAGACAAAAACCTGGGGCTTGTGATTGCATCTGAAATGGTGATTTATCTTAACAGACTGAGCCCCCAATCTGTGGATCTCCAGGTAGATTTTTCTCAGAAGTGAGTCAAATTAGAGGACATCCAGCTTGTGACTACTGCAGTAATTGATTATCTGATGCACAGGAGAAAAAAATCCATATACCTGGTTACATAACTGTTCTGTGTTATGAGAATAGGAGAAACTGATTCTGTTTTCATAGCTTTCTCAGTATGATAAATCAGAACATTTTTAGATGCCTTTCAAACAGCTCAATCACAATGTAAATCACTTTTATTACCATTAATATGTTGAGCAAACATTCTTTATTCTTACTCCACCTTTTACTATCATTAGTATAGGAAGTTTCATTTTCTCTTTTATTTGTTTTGACTTCTTTGAATTAAAAAAAAGGAACAATTAAGTTGGGACATGCCTATAATCCCAGCACTTGGAAAGCTGAGGCAAGAGGATCACAAATTCAAGCTCAGCTTGGGCAGTTTGTGGAATTAATGAGACCCTGTCTCTAAACAGAAAAAAAATAAAATATAAAGGGCTGGACACCTTCAATGTGAAGGTTCTGGATTAAACCTTCAGTACTGAAAAAATTATTTTTTAATAATTAGAAACAGTGAAGACTGTTTTATCTCAGTTAGAACTGAATTAGCTTCTAAGAAGATATCTACTCTATCTCCCAAGCCTGTCATCATAAATGAGTGGTTTTAGTACTAAACAAAATGTATATATTCCTCAATGAAATAAAAAAAACTGTTAGAAATCTAATTTAGGATTCTTTGAACCTTCTAGAGCCATAAAAAATTAACTTATACTACCTTATCTACCAATATTAGTATAGCCTAATCTTAAAGCTTGAAGAATAGAGCATCAGTCCCTTGCATCTTCAAATGTTAAACAGGGTAAGTACTGTTATTAAACAGATAAATACATATATAGTTATTTATCAATAAAATAGCTTAGTACTAGCATCATTCTTATAAAGGACAGCTCAAACATTTGCAGATACAGATGATGGAAGCATAAGTGCATTCTCAGAGGAGCAGAAATGGTCTTGAGAATGACTGAAAACCTCTCTGAAAAGAATAAGGGAGGTGAACATCTGCTTTGTAGTTAAAGGTGGCTTGTCTGCTGGATAGTGCCTGATAACGTTACTTTATCCATGAGAGCTCTCTCTCTTTCATACTCAGGAGTGGGCAGCAGTGATGAAAAAGCCTCAGAGATTGGGTGAGGGCATGAATTTTACAGATCAATTTTGGCCCAATTGCACCAAGTTGGGTACCTCAAAATAACATATATCCAAGAAATATGGAGAGCAGTTATGGTAAACATTTTATGGACAAAATAGTTTTTATTCTTCATCTCATTCTCACATTTTATTTACTAGGTCACATCTTTGCTGGCAGTAAATACTAACACCACTGTTTGTGTGTGTGTGTGTGTGTGTGTGTGTGTGTGTGTGTGTGTGTATGTTTTAAATTTAGATTTTAACAACCATAGCTTGGTAGAAGCTTACTTAAAAACCATTCCTATTCACACATAAAGTTTATTCAAAATGATAATGCTGATGATATTAGTGAGATAGTGATCTGATATTTTACTAGGTTGGTAGGTCACATGCTTCTAATTAAATTTTCATTAATTCCTGTGAAACAGCATCAGAATGAACAAAGATTAGATTTGAAAGCTCTGCACACAGTACACAAATATAAATGTAAATATATAGCAAATTATGTAAAATTTTTTAAAGTTGATTTTAAGCTTTTTACATACCCTTCTGTCATAATAATTCAAAGATTCATTTGAAAATTACTTATAAGGTGGCATTTTTGAATTGTTTTATTTTTCTACATAGATTTGTTTGCCAGATGCAGAACAATTGCTAGCAACATAATATAACATAACATAACACAACATAATATAATATAAAATATGTAAGGGCTTAGATTTTAAAGTGAATCGAATTATGTTCAAATTTGTGGTATTTTTGGTACCAGGAATCGAACTCAGGACCTTATGCTTGCCAGGCAGGCACTGTGTTACTGAGCTATGTGCCCAGCCCTTATGTTCAAATTTGAGATCCACCATTTACTAGCTATTTCACTCTGGGAATTTTTTTTTAACTTTTCCATTTCTGTGCCTCAGTTTCTCCCTTAAGCACCCCTATAAAGTTGTTGTGAAGGTGAGATAAATCATATAAATCTTCATAAACAGTACATGGCACATAGTAAGTGATCAGTAATTACTCTATGTTCATTCATCAGGAAAAAAAAAATAGATGACTAGTTAACTGAATGACATTCTCTTCCTCTCCAGAATAGTGGGTAGTATGTTTGGCCGTATCATACATATACACACAGAAAGATATCCTTTTCCTGAAGGCACCCTTAAGTAAATATTCTGGAGTTCAGTGGTGCTGAATCCCCTTGTAAGACAAAATCTAGTGGGTAAATAGGCATTACGATTGAAATTTCGAGTAGTAATACATATACATGTTGAACATACCAAAATCTCATTATGTCAGGTAAGTCACCTCTTAAAACTTATAGCTCTCTTAATAACTAGATATTAAAGAAGCAATCAAATTCAGTGTTTCCTAGTGTATCAATAAATTCAAAGTAAATTCCCTTGTAAAACTGCCAAACAATAAATATAAATGCCCAAATGCAAAGCATTTGTGGAATGGTTAGGTTTTCCTAGACCATTCCAACTAATATCTAACCTCTGTTTCTGGACAACAAATCCAATCATTTGGACAAATCTCTTTCAAGGTATGGTTAGAAAAACAGAGTTGCTAGAAGGAGACCTCTCAGAAATCTCCTTTATCTGCATCTTCGTTTTATAAAGAATGCAGCTTTTATCTCTGAAAATTGGTATGTCCCTAGGCAAACATCTCTTTATTTGATCAGAGCTTCTGAAGCCACAGTCCTTAGACTTTTAACCACCTTTGCTAAATGTAGGAACCCAGGGAAGACACTTTCATGTAACCTTTGTGAATTTTCTCCTCTAGGAAATTTAGACATTAGTATGTCTTTGCCTTCAAATTTCTGATCTCATGGGCTTAGATCTGGCTTCAGCCCTGAAAGTCCGTATTTCTGCTTTTTCCAGACTCCTTTACCTACTGAAACTTTATATCTGTTTTCTGTCAAGGCAAGGCCTCTCTTGGCACGCAAACCTGCCAGGTGAATCCACCCCTCAGGGGCGTGTCAGTACTATTTCCTGGAGCAATCTCACAGGGTGGTTCCATTTTTCATTTAAGCTCAAATACTTTGCTGCCTCCTCTGCAGCTGCCAGACCTGCTCCTGCTCCAGCTCCTGCTCCTGCTCAGGTAACTCAGTTTCTCCCATGCACCACCATAGGTAGAGGTCATTAATAAATGACTTCTATATGTGTGCCTGCACTTTTTTCATTGCCTTTGTGTTTTTATTTCTTAGGGAAAGACTGACAAGATGATGAGCTCAAGCTATTGGAATGAAACCAGCAGCAGCTGTGGGGCCCACCAGCCCCTTGAGGTGCAACAGTACCAGCCTCAGCATTACCATTGCTACCATCAGCCAAGCCAAGCCCAACAGCCTCTAGAAAAAAACGTAGTCTATGAGCGTGTGAGGACCTACAGCGGGCCCATGAACAAGGTAGTGCAAGCCTTGGACCCCATCGGTTCACAGGAAGTGCTCTCTCCGCTCAAAACTGCCTCCTCCTACCAAAACTTGGTTTGGAGCAACCATTCCCAGGTACAGCAAATATAGTTATTCCGGGGTAATAGAGAAAGGAAATCTTGAACCTCATTTTTCCTCTTCCTTTCTGCTTTTTTGCCTTACTTTACAGGATATCTCTTGGTGGACTTCTATTATGTGTGCGTTAGACAGTCTCCTAAGTTCCAGCCCTTGGCCATTTCTTACTTGCTAGTGCTTGTGGCTGTTTGTTTACCAGTTCCAGTGATTTTTGTAATCGAACCAGAGGATAAGAGAGCTCATTTTTTTGTTGAACTTAATTGGAAGATCTGACCTGAGTGATGTATTCTTTTGCCTCTAAAGAAAAGGAAACCTTAACTTGCAAGGGCTCCTATAGACTCACTGCATTTTGGACACAAGAATGTTTTTTTATGTCAAGCAGGGTAGTTCAGGGATAATGGCATGTTGGAGTGATGAATAATTATTTATGTTCAGCTAATAGTATAAAATGCTTCAGGATAAGTGACAGGTGCAAATGTCAGCCTGAATTGTCATCTGTGCTTCACTTTCTGACAATGACACATTCATTCTTGTACAAACTAGGTGAATTTTTTATGGAATACTGGTATAAGGAATACTGAAGTAGGGGATATAAAATTGAATAAAATAAGAGGTAAGTACTTGTTATATGGAAGCTACAAAAGATGGAACTCTAAGACACCTCTGAAAATGAAATAAATTTGTTTCTAAAGGTTTGTTGTGTTAATTCTTAGCAATAAATGAAAAGTAACATTGCAAGTCTATATAAAGTGAGCAGTTTCACATCTTTTTTCATTCTCTGACTCTCTGTACATAAAATTTGCAAGTATTAAGTCTTCTGAAAGCTTCTGTCCATTCGGGAATTATGTTTTCAAGATATAATTTCTATTGTGATGATTTCACAAAGCAACCAGTGGGATGTTATTCTACATTACATTATTATACCAGTTGAAAATAGTAAGGATTACTTTTCCAAAATTTAAAAATTTAAGTAGGATATGAAACATTTCTAAAATGTATAAGTATGTTTAAAGAATTTTTCAAATATAAAATAATCCCCAAGCCCCAAATGCTACAATTTTGCTCTTTTATTTAACACTTAATATAATTTCAGGGTAAAATACCAACAAAAAAAGATCTAAAATTAACTGTCAATAATTTCCTTAAGAAATTACTGAGAAATTTCCTTGGGAAGTTAACTGTCAAAATTTTCCTTGAGAAAAACTGCATCTTTACTGAGGTAAAGGGGAAGACAAATATAAAGGCCAAAAATACTAGTTCCTATGAGTGTTAACAGCAATGCAGATGCACATTCAAATATTCAACATTATGTTGCTAATGCACAATAAAGTGGATTTGATCTTTATTCCGTACTGGCCCCAAAATAATGAAGCTGAAAACAGTTACTATTGCCATGGGAACACTAAAGTTATTTGTCAGTGTTAGTTCATCACATTAACTCCTTTTCATGTAAACGTGTTAGTAAAAGAAAATATATACACATTTAAAAGCTGAAAACTGGCAAATTATAGATATTGAGTACAAAAAAAATTTTAAGACCATGCTTTATTGTTTGTTCCTTGGTTCAACTTTCTCTTTTAATAATATCAGAACTAAGCTGGTTGAGCTTTTTACATGACACTCCTTCTTTACCTAATATTTTCCAAAGTGATCCTTACACAGAAGTAGTTCCATCTTGAAACATAGGTCCACATAAAAAAGTATGTGAAAACTTTAGGAACTGAAAGTATTGCACAATAACTGAAATAAGAGATTGGAATTGAGGGCATTGTGAAATGTGAAGTTATTTATGACTGAAAATTAAGGAAAAGTAAGGGGTAGGTGCAGATGAAGGAGATGAGATTAAAGCTGTGTGGTAAAACAAAAACAAAACAAAAACACTTACTTCCCTTATTCCCTTGTTGAGAAAAGAAAAAAACCTGACTACAAAATTTCAAACTGTGTTGGAGTTCACGATAAGAGAAAATGGCAGGACAGTTTTTAGATAGCTGCCACAAAGAATCAGGCAAGAAAATTCATCTATTTTGTATCATTTTCCTTTCTTCCTGTGTTTTGTTGGGATTGCTTTGTAGCATTACGTAAAGCATACCTAGGTTTGATCTGAAATTACCTTCATAGCAACAAATGAAAAAGATGTGAAGGCAGCTTTATTATATACCAGGCCAAGCAGGAGTAAACAATACATATTCCTCAAAACCTTTTTGTTAGTTTTACGTTTTAATAAAATATCTCTTTAATATGCTATGCTTCAGTTTATACGTAGCAGTTATTCTGGTGCCAGAGTGTATGACTGGGGAAGCTAGGGAAATGTGTATTACATTCAATTGTTGGTCATAGTGACTTCAGTTAAACTTTTACTTTGCTTTTAGCATTTTAGTGTTTGGATAACTTTCAGAGAACTCATGAGATTTCAAAATAAATATTGCCAGTAGTAAAATCCATTCCCTTTGAGAAACCGAAACTGAGAGCAATCTGTTGTGTTTCCTGAATCTTAATGTTAGCTAAAGTAGTAGATTTAGATTTTAACAAAATGTTTTGTGCAGTATTTTAGTATTTTCCATTTCCGGTATTTTACACAATATTTTCCCCTATTGTACTTCGGTGCACTAAAATAGAGTTAATAGATAAAAACACATTTAAATATCTCTAAATATATAATGGTTTTTTGTTTCATGTCTATACTTGATCAGATATATTTTATAGTTTTCTGTTATTATTTTGTCTGATAAATAGGGTATTTGTCAGAGCAAATTAAATGTAGAAACTAGTTAGTAATGTTATTTGAATTCATGGTAAAAATAAAATTACTGTCTTTAGCCATATGAACAAAGCCATAGATGCATTTTAGGACTGAATATAGTCTCTTTTTTTTTTTTTTGGTACTGGGAATCAAACTTAGGACCTTGTACTTGCCAGGCAGGCACTTGTGCCACTGGGCTGTATCCCTGGCCTTGAATATAGTCTTATAAGTAAATAGATTTCTAGAATCTACTTAAAATAAAACAGGAAAAAAAACCTTAGAACTCAACTTTAGAGCTTAAATATTAACCTACTATCATTAACTTTAAATAAAATACTGCCTTAAATGAACAGGATTTATGGGAATTACTCATTCAGCGAAAAGTTTTTCTCCTACTAATTTAGGTTTTTCATAAAATTCAAGATATTTTCCATGAATACAGAAAACTATGTTTTTGAGAAAGAAAAATGGATCAAAATACTTTTAATTCTAGTCACTCACTTAACACATGCTATATTGTATAGAAAACACTGATTTTTCTGGATAAATACCGCTTGCTTGTGCAGGGAGAGTCCACTTTGATGATAAACATGCAGAGCCTGGTCTGGAGCTATCCTGTATGCTTAACTATATTTCATTTTAAAAGATTATTTTGTATAGTGTATGTATTTCAAAGGTTGTCATACTTTTGAATTTGAAACTTGTAGCTGAGTCTAACTCTACACAACAGCCTATGGGAAAATGTGCACTTATGGAAAGGCTTCTGTTATGAATAATTATTCAACTGGGATTAACTTCTTTTACATGACTTTTCCCTTTGTGTTTGACTCCAAAGATTGTAATTGCTCCCTAACTTTGTTACGATTTCTATATACTATCAGAAAATTTTCCTGTTCTATGGGAGTAGTATGTTGCTTTGATAAACTGTTGTTCAAAGGTGTGGTCACTAAAGTAAATGATAGTTCAGGGAAGTAGATTGCCTGAAAAAAAAAATAAGGTCAGAGGACAAAGGAACTGTTGTTTTCAGGTTTGGTCATCCCTTTTGTGCTTACAATTAATGAATCTATAGAAATTTTGAGCACAAAAAATTGCTGGTGAAAATGCCCATGGCAATTGTCTTTTGTTTAAGGAAGGTCTGGACCTGTTTTCAGTGAAGGGCACTCATAAATTGTCATTGTAGGGTGACAGTGGGCAGTGGTACAGCAAGAGGAAGAGAGGGGAATTTTTCTTCAACTGTCTTGTTCCAAATTTCTTTGTTTGAAAATTCATGGTAAAACAACTAGAGATTTGCTATCCTCTTAAACTCCATTTAAAAGTTAACCTTTCTAAGCAAATACAGTTGAGTCAATTCTTAACATGAGGAGTTATTCTGATAGATACTTATACCACTTAGAGCAAAAACATGGACTGCAAAAAGACCTGCATATTTTCCTTCCTCTCCATCTAGTAATTTTATTCAAAAAAAAAAAAAAAAAAAAAAAAAAGAAGAAGAAGAGGAACATAAATTCACAGTATAAGCATGACATAGCTCAGCTTGTAACTCCAACGCTTTGAGGTTGCATTATTGTAGCTTGGAAGAAATTATTCTATCCCTATTTTCAGTTTTGCCCATTTTTAAGTTCTATTGTGACATGTCTTACTAATTTCCAAGTAATATTTTCAAGTTAATTACAACTTACAGCATTAGAAAGTACTCAAGTCTTATTAGTTAAAAGAAGTTTGCCACCTTCAGATAGAAGCTCTGTAACACTTGCCTTAGGGTTCGTAGACCAGTTTGTTTATTTTAGAAATAAGTAATCCACCTTATAGCGGTGGCAGGATGTGTCTAGGTCATAAAGGCTGAGGCCTGGCCAGGTTGGGAAGCTCCTTCCACTGCGCTGTCCCTGAGGACTGGCTTCTTCAGTTCGCAGGAGGGAAAGAATCTGAGCATGGTTGTACCTCCCACTTCTGGGAAAGGAACACCTCAGGACAGGAAGACAGGCCTTGGGTACACGAGCTCTAGTCATGAAGGAAAGGTTTTTATTATCTAGGTGCTATTATATATTCATAATTGCATTTTGAAAATTAAATGGCTATAGCTGGGCGTGGTGGCGCATGCCTGTAATCCTAGC